ATCGGTAAACAAGGAGCCTGAAGTCTATCAGTAATTACCATGCCACGGCAGATATGGGACCCACCTTGCATATCCGCGCCATACCAGGCGGGCTTGCCGAAACCACAGTTTCTCCAGTAACGACGCTCGAGCTCCTTGCAGAAGTCGGCAGTGTAGCTCGAAGGAGAGGTCTTGGGAGGTAGCCAAGCGGTGTGAGGGTCGAATGACTTCAGGAACTCGCGATCTTTCGCTGCGCGCTCGGCCATCATGGCTTCACGGGCCTCGCGGGTTTGCGGTGCGCGCTTGCCTCTAGACTTTGGCTTCACATCTCCCTGCTCTCGACCACTCATCGTTTGCTTCGCATCTTCTTCCTCCTCATCATCCTCCTCCTCCTCTTCAGCCAATGGATGCCGCGACTGTGAAGAAGTCACTGGGAATGTAGACGAAGACGAGAATGCCTGCGGGTCGGAGGGGGTCGCGTTCTGGTCCTCCGCGTGCTCTTCGACGTGCTCCGGTGGAGAGAGTGTGCGGTGGCTGTTTGGTGGAGAAATGAGTGCCTTTGCGGCTTCCGCTGGGCCGATGTCGTCGTCTTCGCGCTTGATAGCGACGGACACGTCCTCATTTGTCGGCTCGGGTTCGGCAGTCTCCGACTGTCTGTTCTTGCGCCCTCTCCTCGCCCTCGTCTTTGCGCCTCCGTTCGCCGCGCGCGCATGCAGCCCAACCTCATCGACACCAGGAGCACGCAGCTCCTCCTTCGCGCACATCTCAGCCCACTCGCGCACGCTCATCACGCGCCGCTTCTCGATGTTCTGTTGCTGGAAAAGGCCGCCCTGGCCGATCATGTGCTGCTCGATTGGATTCTTCAGCATGACCTTGTCAAGCTGGGGGACAACCGAGGGCAACGCATCCGTCCTACATACAGGATTGGTGCCGACTTCAGTGGGTCGCGACGGTCATACAGGGGACAGGCGACTGACCACTCCTTTGGCGGAATGATCTTCACTATACCGCTGCGCATGCCCCACGGCTCTACCTTGTTCATGTAGCCCTCAAAGTCCACGAACTCGTCCATCGTCGGCTTGAAAACGGGTATGCCGCGCTGCGCAAGAAGATCGTCTGCGGGATCCAGCCACGTCCTGCCATCTGAACTGGGGGAGGGAGGCAGATGAATATCTTCGTTGCCGTAGAAATGGTCCGGCTGGACGGGTATGTCGGGCGTCGGGGAGCGAGAGGGGCTGGGGGAGTGAGCGTGGCTTGTCGCGGACATGATTGAGGTGGGGCGCCGAGAGCGACGGCGGTGGTTGGGCGACACGACGTCGCGCGCTGGAGCAGGTTCAAGACGTATGAATAAAGATATGGCCAACGTCGTCCGCGCCTGAAGTCGCCGCCGTCGCCGTCGTCGATGAAGGAGGAAGCGTAGCAGACACTAGACACAGCCGGGATTTGTGTCTGGAGAGTGGTTGCGCGCTCAGCATCTCCCAGCATACAGCTTATGTAAGCAATTGCCCTTTTAGGTACCCACAGACAAAAGTAGCGCCGCATCAGACTTTGTCTCCGGGCCCTGCGTCGCTTCAGCTTCAACCGTGGCGGCGAGAGCAGCCTACGCCCACCTCGCCATGTCTAGAGACCTTTATTTCATCTTGTGGAGTGATAATGGACCACCAGGCCACGTTGAAGCATTCACTCAAAGGTCCGCTCTCGTGGGAGTACACTCTCACTCTTCCGTATTCTCCTCCAGGCTCGAAGCCTGAAGCCCTGCGATGAAATGGTACGCGTCGAGCAGACTGGAGTAGAACAAGTTGCCTCTCGTCTCCGTTTCGACGAAACAGGACGGCGAGATACATGTCGAGTGTGCATATGGACAATTACAATCGTACAACACGGTAGAGTCCACCAGGGAGCCACGAGCCACACCAAGGACAAGGCTACAAGAGACAGCGTACAAAAATAAAACAGACCTGAGGCTTGCAGGTCAGAACCGAGCCGAACGAGCAAAAAGGTCCTCCCACGAACCGAGTGACCCCTCACCGGGGCCACATTGCTACGAGCTCCTTGGACTCAAAGGCCTCGGAGGTCCTCCTTCCGCTCTCCGCGCTGGTGAGTAGCTGTCGCGATACGGTGGCGGAAGCTCCTCGACTATCCCCCCATCCCGGTGTTGTATAATCACGTCCGGTTCAGACTCGGGGATTGCTGCTACAGGGGGCAGTCGCAGCGACGAGCCCGCACGTCTTGGAAGCGGTTGTGTCGGGAACGTGCGTACTGCCGCGGCCGACTGCGTGCGCCGCACAATCGGAACGCGTGGCGAAGGCAACCCTGTTCCTGCAGCGGCGGTCGGACTCTGTCTCCAGCTGGAGGCCGACCCCATCTGCGCCTGAAGCCGTGCGCGGTTTGCCTGCGCCTCCGCGAACGCTTCGACCGCCTTGCGGTATCGCGCCTCTGGTGAGAGCGTCGCCGCCGGGGACGTTGAGTTTGGCGTCGTCGCTACGGGGTCCGGAAGCGGAAAGGGTGACTTCGCGATCGAGGCGGCTCGCGGAAAAGTCGGCGGTGTCATGTAAGGAGTCGGGATCGCGTCGCGCAGTTCCGTCCCGGTCATGTCTATCGACGTCGGACTGTCTGTGCGCCGAATAGAGTATTCGCTGCCGTCCACGACCCACGACGGTGTCCTCTGCGTCTGGCCGTCGATCCTCAACACGTCCGATACCTGCGACATGTCGAGATTCAGGCTCGGCCGAACCGTGCTCCTCTGCTGTTCAGTGTCGTCGAGTGGGGCTTTTGCAGCCTGGCTAGGCCTCGTGTCTTGAGAAGAGTTGCGTTTCCTGCGTCGCCACCACCAGAGACCGAATACGCCCCCCATCAGCATCGGCACTACGATGCCAAACACAATCCCCAGAGTGACCCTCGTGGCATCCGCCTTCTTCGCTGTGGCTGGTGCTGCTTGCATCTGAATTTGGGCTTTGGTGAATCCCAAGGAGTTCAAGCCGGGACAGCTAGTGTCTGTGGAGCCCACGGTAGAGACGGGCACGGTAGACACTCCCCATTCACCAGTTCTGCGAAAGGGAGAGGTCCTCGTCAGCCGATACTGTACAGTCTCAGTCATTCAGACCACACTGACGCGTCCATGACCGCTACTAAGCATGGTTATCAGTATTGTGCAAGCACCACGGAGCAGAATCGTACACGCACCCATCAACTTCTGCCTTGGATCGGCACGGTCGATAAAGACGAACACGTCGTCCTCCGGACCCATCTGGACTTGGGTAATCACCCCTGAAGCCGTTTGCCCGAACGTTAAATTGTACGGCTTCGTTCCGCCCGTGACGCTGAGTCCCCACGGTTGGCAGGTCTCCAATTGGGTTGTGACATTTGGAGTGATGCGAAGCGTCGAGGATGTCGGGGCTGGGATTAGGCATGAAGTATCACTTCCGGCTGAGGTGATATGCACCGTCAACTTGGATGACGAGGGTGAAGAGCGCTGCCACTGACCGATGACATCTACGAACTGTACCGGAAAGCCCCCCGTATTGCCGGCGGAATCTATGACGGTCAGAAGTAGGCTCGCGCCTTAGAAGAGACGTCGGCATCGTCAGTTTGTATTCTGAAGGGATTGGGAGGAACACACCTCGGCGATGGTTATTCTGCCAGACCAGATTGGAAGGATCACTCCCGATGGGCGTGAGCGTGGTAATACCTTGAGCCTCCAACGCCAGCATGCTGTATGGAGGCACGCCGACGAAAGACGTTGACGCGTTCAATGGTTGAACCTCGATAGCACTCTTCTGACACTCCGCGAAGTTCTGAGAGAAGGACTATGACGGACGATCAGGAGGTGGCAGTTTCGCGAGTCGAGACGGTCTTCATATCTTACATTCGAGAACTTCCAGTTGAATCCATGAATGCTGTTCTGCGCCTGGCACTGTAGCACAAGGAAAGGAAGGATCCAGAGAAACACCGATAACCGCCGCAAAGAATCCATTGTAACCCGTCAAGGAGACCCAGAACGACAGTGGAAAGAGCGCGGCCCCTAGAAGAAAGCCCAAGAGAATGTGGGGAAGACAGGAAAGGTCAACGCCCAGCGTCAGAACATGAAGGTGGACGACAAGCAAGACGGCCGCAGGGTGCGTCGAGTGGGGAGGGGGACGCCGTATCCCCAGGAACAAGGCGGCTAGCTGCTGTCGGCTAGAGAACAACAGCTTCGCATCTCGGTGATGAGTAGAAGACTCACCATTGGGTATGCAGACTGGGCGTCATCATCGCCGTGGCTGTTCTTGGACAGAGCTTTATGAAACCACGCAATCGGTGTTATCACGGAGCTCTCGCAGTCGTCCGTACTAGACTTTCGGGAGGTCCGCGAGTTCTTCCTACATATGATATCTCGATGGACGCACCAAGACGGGTAGTTGTCAGCCTTTCAGCACTAAAACATTGTGGATTCCTATATGCGCCGTCAAGTCAGTTGCTATATAATGGATGTCTCCTACACAGATCATCGCTTGGGAGGTCGACGAAACGTCATCACGGGTACGAGCGATGCGAAAGGCCGTCCATGGTCCGACAGGCACGGTTCGAGGAAGGGTAGCAACCGTGGCGATGGATGCGAAATGAAATGATTGCGAGGCTGATCTCTCTCTCGCTGCGATACTGTACTTCCCAGACGTTAGGCGAAGTCCCCTAGGCCTGGTATCCCCTGGCCTCCACCGTATCGCCTATAAGGGCGCTTGTCCCCAGGTCCCCGGCCACCCATCGCCTGTCCTCCCTCTACCGAAATTAGCAATTTGCTTACGTTTCTGGCGTCTAGCCCGCCTCAGCCAATGGTATCGCCTGTGTCCCCACGTCCCCGAGCACTCCCCCCTCTTCCCACGCCCTAATCTATTTTTATGTCGCTTCGCCTAACGATTTTTGGGAAGTACAGTACCACTTCGTCGGCTCTCCGCCGCAGCCAATGCCCATGGTGTTACTAGTCAGACCCCGCATCCTCAGGATACTCACAAAGGGCCACAGTGTTGTGTAGAACTGGTAAAAAGCGACCAACCTGGGAGTCGAACCCAGAATCTTCAGCTGGAAAGAGTCGGAACCGGAAACTGACGCCTTAACCATTAGGCCAGCCGGCCGTCACGTGTGAAAGCTGCTGCTGCATCCCAGACACCTCCTCTTCTGCTGATATGAAGTACAGTCAAATATGGGTCCTCGGCACACCATGGTTCCTCGGGACACTCGATTTTTTCTCGTCCCTCCTGTAATTCCTCGCTCCTCTAAACATCTGCAGTGTCTTTAAACTGGTAGATTTTGGGTTAGAATCAGCACGATGTGCAACTTGCAGGTCAGTCGGACATGTGGAGTTCCGCCATTTGAGAAGTCTATCGCCTCTGCACCGCGCGATTTGCACTCAAAAATCCTGAGACTATTTAAAAATATTCATTAAATACCGATAGATGTGTCCGCGCATACCCCGTGTTCGTGTCTCATGTGGCCATAGGAGAGGCTGCTGTGGATGAGCAGCTCAAATGCTTCCCTGGAGCGGGCGGCAAAATGGGAAATTTGCCAAATTGGGCCGCCGGCATTGCTCGGCATGTCCAGATAAGATGAGATTGTGAAGGACACCTACCGGGTATGGTGATTCTATGGGCGTCTAAGAGCGTCCCGAGGATTCCGGAGAGTCCGATAAGAGATTTTGAGAAAGATGCCTTTCGATCTTGTCAGTGCTCGAGGGTGTGGCGCACGATGTGGAGTATACAGGTGCATTGTGCTGTGTTTCATGCAATAGTCTGACCCGATACATGTGGAGGGATAAGGGGGAAAGCAGGGACATCGACGAAAATTTGGGTGTCCCGAAGACCCATATAAGACTGTAGTGGCCCACGTACTACATAGTCTCCCCTATGCAGACGTTCTGATAAGCTCGGACTGCGAAGTTTGAACGACCCGGTCCGCAGTCGGTACTGTATTTGTCACTGAGCTCGATGAAGAACCTGCGAGCCAAGAACACACTGCAGTAGCACACAACGGTGTTCCCGGTCAAATGACGACTAGAAAAGTGAAGTTTCAACACACAGCAGTACTGTAATCGACATGATATATCTTCGCAGCGGCTTCGCAGCTGCGTGCATATGACGTCGCCCACAAGGGTATTCCTCAGGAGAACTGGCCCTCATGACTGCTATCGAGTACGTTCAGGCCAAGAGTAATATTACGCATCAGCAACCAAGGATACAGTATCTCCAAAACCAACGGGTACATGTTGACCGCATGACTCTCACACCCCGGTCATGATGCGTGCAGTCCAGTATCTACAAAATCACCAATCCCATTACACAGAGCGGCGAGGCGCGTCCGGAAGGGCGATCAGTCAATGCTTTCGCCTCTTCTTGGCCCTCCCGTCGTCCACAGCTGGACTCTGCCTCGAGCTCGGCGACGCACTGCCATCCGCACTAGCCACCTTGAGTGTGCGCTTCTTCTGCACCCGCAGCAAAGCCCGCTTCGTCTCCCCATCCGGGAACGTCGACAAGTCGTAGTAGTTTGTGGCATACTCCAACAACCTGGAAGCGCAAGAGTAAGCTGAGCATGTTCAGTCATTGCAAGGGCAACAGGGTACGCACCACTCTGGCCTGACCTCCGTCACCGTCCGGATGTACGGCTTCGTCGTCAGCACGAACTCGTTGAAGACCACCCACTCCGGGCTCGTGTCTAGCCCGCAGCTCGGGTGCAGGCTCACCACCTGGTTGTCCTTCACCGTCAAGTACGCGTTCTTCTCGCCCTCCTTGTGCGCGACCTGCATGAAGAATCCGCAGACAAGCGCCTTCCGGATGTTCGTCCACAGTTTCCGCTCGTCCTGGGTCGTCACCAGCTCGATCTCGTAGCGTTCCATCGTCCGGAGCAGCTGTGTCCGGACGTTCTCGGCCTGCTGGAGCGCACGCCCCGAGAGATAATTGTTCCAGCACCAATTCTTGTCGTGCTTGTCTGCAGCAGATCCGTGAGCGTCGTGTCATACTCGCGGCATGCATTGCAGCTTACTGTTGACATAGTGGTTGTAGACGTTCATCAGCGTCAGATGGTCGCCGTCCGGGACCGTCAGCATCGCCTTGGCCGCATCCGCCTCCTTCCGCTGATTCGGTGGCCGCAGCCACACGTTCGGAACTGATTCCACCAGTCAGTCAACCAGAGCGGATCCGAGGGCGCGCAGAGCAGGCAAACTTACCCGAAAGCATCGCAACGATCGTCAGGATCTCGTTGCTGCAGTTGAACTCCGGGCTGACGATCAACATCTTCGCCATCTGCACCGCACGTCATAATTGTTAGCGAAAGGGAGGCAAGCGGATCAAGCACGAAAGAGCGCGGACAGTGGACCCACCTGCGGATCCAGCGGGAAATCTGCCATGATCGACCCGAGAGGCGTCAGCTTCCCATCGTCGTCCAGTGCAGCCAGGTAGTTCAGCAGCTCCAGCGCACGCATGAGCGTCTCTGGCGCAGGCGCGTCCACATAATCGAAGTGCACCAGGTCGTTAATGCCCAACTTCGCGAGCTCCAGCACCGTGTTAGCCAGGTTACTCCGCAGGATCTCTGGATGCGTCTGCTCCTCGAGTTCCGTCATGAAGTCCTTCTCCGTGTACAGCCGGAAGCACTTCCCGGGGCGCGTGCGTCCTGCACGACCTGCGCGCTGCTGGGCCGAAGCCTTGGAGATCGGCGAGACAAGCAGCGACTCGACGCGGATGCGCGGGTTGTACACTTTCTGCTTGGAGAAACCAGGATCGACGACGTATACGATACCGTCGATCGTAAGCGACGTCTCGGCGATATTCGTCGAAATGACGACCTTGCGCCCGGGAGGACCGCCAGGCACGCGCGGAGGTGGGGGCGGGTCGAAGATACGCTGCTGCTGTTGCGGTGGGAGCGAAGAGTAGAGGGGGATGCACACAAGAGGGCCGACGCTGTCGGGATCCTGGTTGAGGAGATCGTCTGCCTCAAGCTTGATCTTTCTACAGGCGTCCTCGATCTCCTCCTCACCAGTCAAGAACAGCAGAATGTCTCCGGGATCTTCCGCACGGTGGATCATGAGCACTGTCCTGATCGCGGCCTCGACGTAATCAGGCTCCGGCTCCTGGGTATAGAATACCTCGACGGGGTGCGTTCTGCCAGGAACCTTGAAGAGCGGCGCGGGGTTCTCTGGACCTGTCAGGCTGAAGTATCTCTGGAACTTCTGCGCATCGAGCGTGGCGGACATGACCACGATCTTGAGGTCCGAGCGTCGTTTCGCGATGTCCTTGAGAAGACCCATTAGAATATCGGTGGCAAGAGTGCGTTCGTGTGCCTCGTCGAGGATGATGGTCGAGTACCGGCTGAGCTCGTGGTCGTTCATGGCTTCTCGAAGAAGCATACCGTCTGTCATGTACTTGAGGAAGGTAGTGCCGGGTTCGGTCATATCCTCGAAACGAATCGAGTAACCGACTTGCTTCCCGAGTGGTACTGTCAAATGCATGGTCAGCAACCTGCCTCGCTGAATTCCACCGACGCTACGCTAAATCAGAACTTTGCCGCGCGTGTTGATAAAACAACTATCTACGGCCATAGGCACTTGCAATGAGCCTACGTTTCAGTGCCATGGAGTACAGTCGACGCATCGTCGTGATACTGAGATGTCCCCGTTTGAGCGTGCGCGTACGATTTTAGTCCAGCTGCAACAGAGCAAGGAGCTGTTCGTTCATATGCAGGTAACAGTTTGTCAAATATCCTGCTCGGAAGCATTCTGGAGCGACGCCCCGATGGGGTCTTCGCGCCACAGTGCAATCGCGTCCTAGTCTTACCTCTCCACGTAGTAGCGAATGATCGGATGACAAGGTCGCTCCTATGCGGTACCTACTTAAATCCGACAACCAGGGATCGAAGCGTGGTATGGCGTACGCGGCGGCGAAGTCCTGACTTGGAAGCACGAGAACGACACTCACCATCCATCTCATCCGCAACACGCTTTGCGACGGACATGGCGGCGACTCGCCTGGGTTGTGTACATGCGACCAGCTTGCCCTTGGTGTGTGGCAGGTCGGAGTAGCATACAAACTGAGGTATCCTAGACGGGAACAGAACGGTGAGCGAGAGATTACGACATACGCGTAGTCTTCAAGCTGCAGGTTCTCACTGTGTGGTCTTTCCGGAACCTGTTTCGCCGACCATGACAATGATCTGGTTTTTGCTGAACTTTGTGCGGTGTGGGACATTAGCAATGCGTTCACTCGTTGACGGGGACAGGAGATGCCTGGACGGGACTCTGACCTCCCTTCACTCGGGCACAAGATGAGGGAAGACTCACCATCTTGAGGAACTCGTCCATCTGAGAGAAGACGGGAAGCTTTTTGCGAGCTTCGAGGATCTTCTTGTACTGCACGGAATGTGGCTTTTTCGTGAAAGGATTGACATCCCCCTCCTGGTTAAAAGTTACAGACCGCCCTTGATAGTCCATAATGAAAACACTGACCATGGCCTTGAGGACCTGTTCGGACGTGACATTGCGAGGGAGGAAGCCGAAGAGAGGATCACTGCGGCCGAGGTTGGGCGCGGGCGAGTTTGACACGGGCGGCTTGGATGTGTATGGATTGTAGGAGGCCATAGCGGAGGGGAAGAATGGGTGGCGGATGGAGGGAGAGGTTGAGGAGGAGGAGGAGGAGGAGGAGGAGGAAGAGGCCGAGAGGGAGCGGTGAGGTGAGTTTGGCTCGAAAATGCAAGCGCGCACAGGTCACGTGCGTGGCTCTCTCGACGCGCGTACTACTCCTCGCGACGTCCGCTCACCGAACGCGTACTCTACTCTCTCTCTCCCCGTCATCTCTCTCCTCCTTTCTACACTCTTTGGCAATGGACCACTTTCCGACAAACTGGGGCAGACCGGTACGTGGTCAACGCTTGCGACACAAGACACACGCTCACCGTCCGTAGCGCAACGAGGCGTTCGACCCGTATGCCACATACCCCATTCACCAACGTCCAGCCAACAAGGACACATTCGCCGAGGGCGTACAGCGCACACAGTGGGTAGTATCCACACATATTAGTCGGCTGCGTCTGAGCTTGCGAGCAGACAGCCGATCGTGACCGGAACGTCCGTCCTCGCCATCATGTACAAGGA